TAGCCAATAAGCTTACAGCTCCTAACATGTTCATTGGTTACCGCGTTGCATTTTGCCGCGCGGTAAGCTTTTCCGCATCCAATGTGCAGGAGCCATTACATGACAATTTTCATTAAAAAAAAGAGGAGATAATGTTGATAGCAACAAAAACCCTTGAAGTCCCATAGTTTTATTTTCTACGGATGGGTAACATTTATAAGTATTAATCCGTTAGTTTGCGCCGATCGTTACCGATCGAATGTAAAAATAGTGTAATACATGATAATTCGTGAATTGTTCGTGAACGGCTGTCATCGCGGAGGTTTCGTGTTTTGACAGTTATGTGTATCAAGAGGTTAATAACGTTTTCGAGATTATTCAGTTAAGTTTCATTAAGTATTTTCATTACAAAACCTTTATTCTTACTATTTCATAAGAAATCGATACTTTGTGTTATATATTTTATTTTCAGTTATTCGTTTTCGGTCTAACACTATCAACGGTGTTAAATTGTGCATAGAAAAGAAGGGATTGAAAAGAAAGGAAAATTAAATAAAGAGAGGAAAAAGAAGAAAGGAAAAGGAAAAGAGATATAAAAGGAAGTACAATCTAAATTTGAATCAGTAGATAATCACTGACAGCAGTCCTAAGGATGCCATTGGCAATCAATTTGTCATTAAACAAATTTATGAAAAACTGTAATTCCTTGATTTAACTTCTATAAATTTTATTTCTAATGACATTTGTGTTTTCCATTCCAAATAACGTTTCCAGAAGACGTTATTAACCTCTTGATACAACATAACTGTTAAAACACGAAACCTCCGCGATGACAGTTGTTCACGAACAGTTGATGAATTATCATAGGCTTGTTCTTTTTTGGCTGAACTTTTGCACCAGTTCATCTTTCTTCCTTTTCTCTCCAGGAGGAAAAAAGAGGAAGAAAGATGAACTGATGCAAAAGTTCAATCAAAAAGAACAAGCTTATTGCGATGTCGAAATGGTACAAATGGCTTAGACACCGTGTCATATCGATTGTCATTCTTCTTTTTATTCAGCGAGCAATGGAACATCCAATGGATGATCTGCATTATTGGTTTCATTCTCATCTTGCTCGTAAAGCAGTGGCACCGCTTGTTGATTGTTGTTTTCGGTGGAGCCATAAATGTTACCAATCCGTAGAAAATAAAACTATGGTTCCTTAAGGGTTTTTGTTACTACCAACATTACCCCCTCTTTTTTTTATGAAAATTGTCGTGTAACCCATTTTACGCTTGCCATCTAAAGCCCAGTGTCCACGATGCTAGAAATCCGTCCGAGATCTCGGATAAAGAAAGAATTGACCAATCGCATTGATCATGTGACTAAATCGTTTAAATGTGATTGGTTAATTCTTTCTCTCTCCGAGATCTCGGACCAATTTCTAGCATCGTGGACACAAGGCTTAAAGTCATTAGATTTCTAAAATGGCGCAATTGATTTCAGAAATAGATTTGTTCGCGTTACATGCTCCAACATGTTCCAATATGCTTCTACCATAGCTCTTAGGGTGCAGTCCCAAGGAGCGTATCGCGCGTATCGCGGATCGCGCGTATCGAAAATCTGACCAATCTCGGACGTTCCGCTGTTTTTGATGCGCGAAAATTTCGTTCCTCTGGTCCCATGGAGCGAAATTCGCGTAAGCGGATCAGGCGGATAGTCAATCATAAAACGAGTTTTGTTATTTTTCTTTATTTGCCTTCATCTAAACAGTTGTATGATTGGTAAACCGCCGATCCGTTTACGTTAATTCCGCTTCATGGGACCATAGGAACGAAATTATCGCGTATCGAAAATAGCGGAACAAAACTGACTTCTGCGGACGAATTACTGTAGGACCGCAGAAAAAAGAGGATAGCCGTAAAAAGTAAATAACCATATTGTGTAAGTAAATTATATTAAATATTAATTTATTTAATATAATTAAATTTTTTTAAAAATAGAACAATTGAAGGGCTAAGAGCCAGTTATGTAATAAAGAACGTTTAATTTAAAACATAAAGATAATTAAAATAATCATGATTATAACATTTCATTTTGTTTTATATTTACAGAGTCTTTTATTATTTATTATTTTTATATACGCGGTCGAAAT